TGCAAGTACAAACCCGAAACTTATAATTTTTGAACGTGTGTGGTGCTAATTACATATCTCTTTTTAACTCTATGTATTTTTTTTTTTAATTTTTGTTATTTGATTCTCTTCGATTCATTATATTCAATTGTTGAAAATTAAAAGATGTATTAAAGGTAAAACTGGATGTGTGAATAGCGTCATTTTTTTAAAATCAGATGCTTCTTGGGCCAATAAAATGGATACGGCTCGGTATGTATTTTCAATGGGTTTAGAGTTAATCAATTTTCTCCGGTGCATGGGCCTTTAAATGGGCTTCTACAGAGAAGCGGTGAGATGGGTTGGTGGTCGTCTGAACAAAAAGAACGCTTTTGAAGACTTTCCCTCCAGCTTTTGTTTATTGCGGGGTTAATTTTTGAGGAGGATCCCCATTTTTGAACTCGCTATGTATTGCATTTTAACTATTCGAACCATCTTATTGTATATTGTTGCAAAATATTAATCACATCTAAAATGATCGAGATTTTTAATTTGTAATAAGGAAATTTGACGGACATGGGCGTCTTAAGAACAACAAAAATTTTTGGCATATAAAGAAATAACAAAATTTCATGATCAGAACCAAATAGATAAAATTAGATGATTTTGATGATTGTAGACATGGCAAGTCAGTGACCCAAAGGTAATCAAGTTCTAATATCAAGGACATTCACTCGACTCATCAATTATTGACCATAGTCAGATTTGTTGTCCGACAGTCATACCATGTGTTCACAAGGCCATACACAAAAAATAAAGACCCCATGTATTTTTGTATCACTTGAATTTTTACTCGAAAGAAGTGTGCCGTACATGAACTGCGGTGGCCAAGAATTCTTCAAACGATAGGAATAGGATGATAGGATTGTAAAAAGAAAAATAGATAAAGAAAAGAAGAAGAAGAAGAAGGAGAAGAAGAAGACAGGCTTTTCTTTCGGCCTAGCCAGGCAAAGGTTAATCAAATGTTCGTTCACATTGCTCATTACCTCAACTGTACTCGATTGGGCTCGTGATATAGAATATTGATTCAAATGCTCTTTATTCACGGGTGACATTTTCCCATGTCTAACGCAATTGAATTAGGCTAAATGTTGTTTTATCTTTGACAATGAAGCGTTGCCCATAGGGCGTGGGCCATTGGAATTTAAGACTCATTTTGGATCTTTGTGTTCGGAGCTCGTAGTTCGAGAAATCTGGATTACTCAATTTCAATTATACGACATCTATTAGTCTATCACATTGATCCACTTCACAACAATCCAAAAACTTGAACAATCTGAATCTTTTTTTTTCTCTCTCTCTTGAACAATCCGAATCTCTAAGTCAATGTGCTTTGGACATAAAGATTCGGAATGGATCTCATTCCCACCATTTATACATGATTTACCCATTGGAAGTAGGTTTATATAGATGAAATCATGATTATTCATTTTCAATTGCTAATCTATATTATGTTAAAACATAAGCTTACTTAATACAACTTAACATTAAACTCGTTGTAAATACACATTGTTATATGCGTTAATATGAGTTAAAATGGAGGGTGCCGAATTATTTGCTTGATTTTTATGTGCTTGACTCCTCATATGGGTTTATAGTTAACACATCACTCTTAAAATTTGAATGAGATGTCATGTGGATATAAAATCGAACAGAGAATCCAAATCTAAAACTTTGATATCTTTTAATCAAGGCCGAGTACCACTAAACCTAATGATCACATGCAACACAACCTGGCTATGTGATGTGATCCCTCAATCATGATTATGCATGTTTCTCTTTTGAAAAAGGTTCAATTTTGAACAAAGAAAACCTGCCCCGGCCCCGCAGATAAACACAAATTCATTTCAAGCTTTTCCATGTCTCCCTCATCATCAAGATTCGTTTGTAGTGAGTCAATTGCGGCGATGAGCTCGTGAATCAATCGTACATACCTTCTCCCAAAAGCTTCAAGATTAAGTTGAGATTAGGATCACATTAGCTTAATCGAAAGAGTCGAAGGAAATACACACCTGTTTGAGAATGTTTTGCTTTCACTAGTGGTGAAACGTAAGTATGTCTATATTTGAAAGAATTAAAGGAAATACACATTTGTTTGAGAATGTTTTTATACAAAATACTTCTACTTATAAGCGTTTCGTTGACGCTATTATAAAAAAGATTAACATTTGTATAGTAATTTTGCATGCTTCTGGCTATAAGTAACTCGAAAATACTTGTTACTTTTTAAAACTCAAATGCTTTTATTCATACGATGTGTGGTGCAACACTAGAACTAATAATCGAGTATTTGGAATTGGGACCCTACACAATAATGCTACAAAGTTGGCACGCTTAGCAATAGTAGCATTAGTGGGGCACCTTCCTCAGACCTAGTGTCCCAAGCCCAACTAACGCACCCAACCGCCCTACCCGCCCACAGGACTAAAATGGTACGCCACCAGCCGTCCAATTATCCAGATCATTATCCTTGTGGATGTTTCCATTGCATCTTAGCCGTTGATGGTGCAACTACTCTGCTACGTACATAAACCCCCCCAACCCTCGTATCATGGAGCTCAAGAAGCGGAGTCTTCTGTTTTCATTCAATAATACTCTCTATTCCCACACACCATGAACACCAACCGCATGTACACCCACTCCCTCCTCCCCCAACTCTCCTTCACCTTCCTCTTCTTCCTCCTCTCCCACCCCATTCCCACCGTCGGACTCCCATCCAAAGACTCGGAATTCATCCGTACAAGCTGCGGCACAACTCTGTACCCTCACCTCTGCTACACCTCCCTGTCCCGCTTCGCCAGCGCCGTCCAGGACAACCCGACTCTGCTCGCCAAGGTAGCCATCGGCGTCAGCCTCGCCAGGGCCCGCCGCATGGCTGCCTACTTCTCCAACATATCCCGTCAAGCTGACTACGGCGCCCACCCTCGAGCCGCCTCAGCCCTCCACGACTGCTTCTCCAACTTCGGCGACGCAGTCGACGAGATTCGAGGATCCCTCAAGCAGATGCGCCAGCTCAGTTCCACTGCAAACTCAAGAGGCGGATCCTCGTCATTCCGGTTCCAGATGAGCAACGTCCAGACGTGGATGAGCGCCGCGCTTACCGACGAGGAGACCTGTACGGACGGGTTTGATGACGTGGAGAATGGGCCCCTCAAGACCGACGTGTCGAACCGGGTTGAGAATGTGAAGAAGGTTACAAGCAATGCCCTTGCGCTCGTTAATAGCGTTGCTGAGAAGGGCGCGCCCTGATAAAAGTCGAGCCTCCATCTCTGGTTTTGGTAGTCTTTGGCTGTTGGAGTAGTTGATTAGTAAGTTAATCAATGAAGATTAGTAGAGATTTATATCAAACTTTACCGTCTGTTTTCGTTGTGTGTTAATGTTGTTGTAATATATTTTGGTCTAATTGGTGATTTGTAATTTTCCAATTGCTATGGTTGTAGACTTGTAGTTTATTAGGGTCCATAAAAAAATTAGAAGAAGTTAATCGGGGAGGAACTTTATGAGGGTAAATTACCTATTAGAGACTTTACTATTAAATCTTCTAATTCCAATTACGAATTCATTAGGCCCTTTTTGAACCGCTTCTAAGATTGATAATTTTTTTAATCGAGAACTACACCAATTATCATAATATAAGTTATTAAATATTTTGTAAAACAAAAATTTTAGGGTAAATTACATAATACCCCTTCAGGTTTGAGATTTATTACAACCTCATACAACATCTTTAAAACATTACACTTTCATACCTCACATACTATTTTGTTTCAATATAGTACCTCCATTACATTTTTCATCATTTGATTCGTTAAGAGCTGACGTGGTTACCATAATATTTCGTAAAACATTTCAGTTGTCATAATATAAGTTGTTCAATATTTTGTAAAACAAAAATTTTAGGGTAAATTACATAATACCCCTCAAGTTTGAGGTCTATTACAACCTCATACAACATCTTTTAAAACATTTCACTTTCATACCTCACCAACTATTTTATTTCAATATAATACCTCCGTTACATTTTTCATCTATTAATTCGTTAATAGCTAACGTGGTTACCACATTTCTGTCACGTGGAATTATTTTATTATTTTTTTTAAACCTAAATCTTCTCAAAAAAAAAAAAAAAAAAAAAAAAAAAACTGAAAAACGCAGAACCCACCCATCTTCTCCCTCCCTAACTGAGCCTCCCAACCACCTCCCTCATCTCCAACCTTTTCTCTCTTCTCACCATCGTCTCCCTCATCTGCATCAAAACCGCCTCTGGCACGGCTTCGTTTTGGCTCTTCTCTGACGCCTAGCACAGCGATAGCAGCTCTCCTGCCATGTACTCCGTCACCCAGTCCGAGATCTTCATAAACGCATAACTCACACCAACTTTTGCCACGTCCCACCTCCAATGCCAGCTTCGACGCCGTCTACGTCCCAGCTATCCCAGTTATTCCAGCTCATGCTCTACAAGTCCAATGACTCTTTTCCATTATCCAAACCAGACCACCCTTTAAACCCGTCAGCGCTTGAGTTCAACTCGACCCATGAACCCTTATTGCGACGAGGCTCCAATATACTCCCAGACCTCTTAGTGCCTTGAGCAATGCGGAGCACTCGAGCCCGATGACCGAGCTTTCCTAGTTGCTTCGTATGAGAACAGATGAGTGTTTATTGCAATTTGAGTTTTTACAAGCTTGAATTGCAGAGAGAGAAGATTAGGATTTTTACGAGCTTGAATAGCAGAGAGAGCAAAGCTTCGAGTTGGGGAAGTTGAAATTAGGGTTTTTACAAGCTTGACTCGTAGAAAGAAGATTGAATTGTAGAGAATCGGGGTGTGATTTCAAGGGTTTCGAGGGTGTGGGTGTGGATGTGGTTTTGGTGGTGAAGGCAAGGGGGACGGATGAAGGGTGAAGGAATTAGAGTGCAGATGTGGTTTTGGTGGTGAAGGGAGGGGGGACGGACGGAGAGGGAAGATGAGGTTTTGTTGATGGATGAAGGGAACACATGGAAGGGTGAGAGCCAATGGAGGTGAGGTAGCCGACGGCTCTGTGGGATCTGAGGAGGAAGGCACCATTTTTATGGGTGTGAGTTCTTCTAGGCGTCGGATGTGGAGAGAGCGGGGAGGGAGGGAGGGAGGGAGGGTGGGTGGGTGGGGTGCAGGAAATGGAGGTGAGTTGGGGGGGGGAGGAGATGGGTTATGGGGATTATTTTTTATTTTTATAATAATTTTTCTTTAATTAATTATTTTTAAATGTATAATTTTTTTTTTTGCCACGTAGCACAAATGTGGCAGCCACGTCAGCTCTTAACGGATCAATGGATGGAAAATGTAACGGAGATGCTATATTGAAATAAAATAGTAGGTGAGGTATGAAAGTGAAATGTTTTAAAGATATTGTATGATGTTGTAATATACCTCAAACCTGAGGGGGTATTATGTAATTTACCCAAATTTTTAACTACTTATATTACGACATTTGTTGTATCATGCCGTATACTCGGCGAAACATTTCTCCCTTTTTAGTATTAAAATGATTTTTTTCTTGTTAAATTAATATTATCTGAAAATTTATTAGAGAAAATTATTTATCTAATTTCTTCGTTTTTTTTTTAAGGAAGCGTTGTATTGAATACTTTAACTCATTCAGAGTTACATATGTCTTGAAGATGATATGATATGTGATTAAAATGGATCTTTTCCCATATAATGACGTTTCTTTCTCGTAGTGCATAAACCCTCCCACTTAAAATGTGATTTTTTTCTTGTTAATTAATTTTATTTGAAAACTGTGGTGCCAAAAATATTCACTAGGCGACACGTGGACTTTTGGACAAAAGAGGACAAAAATACCCTTGAGGCATACCGGGATTCCTACGCGCAAGCAGCGAGAAATTATTTTTCAATCAAGTTAAAAGTGCCCAAAAAAGGTAATAATTAAAAACCTCTTTCATCAAATCCTTTCTATAAGGTATTTCCCAAAACCTAGTATTTTCTATTTCATTATTTAGCTAATCAATTAGCTAAATAATATATACCTACCATATCTCCTAAAATCATCCTTAATAGTCAATAAAATCACCCAAATTGATAGTCAAAACCGGCCACCACCATTCCCATCCTCACCTTTCCCATTTTCCTTATTAAAATAGTCATTCATTTTTATAACCACCCATTTATTCTTTTCATATTTAATTAGCCAATAAATTGGCTAATTAAACATGAAATTGAACCCCACAAAAAACCTTTAGTGGCTGGTTACTTTTATTCAAAATTGGGCAATGCCTAACTCTATAAATAGGCACCTATTCTCACCAAAAAATCAATTCCAACACTTTGGCAAAAATCCCAAAATTCTCTAAGCACTCTTTCTCTCTAAATTCTAACTTTGGCATCAGAGGTTCTTCGGCCAAAGCCCCCCCATTCATCGTGGGCGCATCAGGCTCTTGGCCTTAACCTAAGGTGTTAATTGTTTTGTAGGTGCAAAATTGTCCAAGATCAAGGAGGAAGAAATTTGCATCCACAAATTGGTGCTTTCATTGAGAGTTGAAATCCATACTCGTAGAAGACTCTCGCACAAAAAGGTTTTTTCTTTATTTTCTAGTCCATTTGAATATTTTTCATACGTTCTTATTATTAGAATTTTTTACTTGCAAAGGTTCTTTGATAAAACGTATAAGCAAAATATAATGGCTAGAAATTTAGAAAATTCCACAAGTGAAAATTCTAATGTTTAAGAAATGGGATTGTGAAGATCCGTGAGGCTAAATGCGACAATAAGTGGAACAGCGCCACCACCACTAGTTTCCACCACGGGAACCACCACGGTGGCTACCTCGGTAGCCACCCATGGCGAGGTCCGTGGTGCCTTCACCAGGGCCCGAACTGTGCCATCCAAGGCTCACGGCACCAAGGCCACAGCCCAAGCCGTGCCATCCAAGCTTGCACGCGTCCGAGCCCAAGCCTCGCATTTGCATGCATCACATACTAAGCAGTTTGCTCTCGCCAAGCAACCTGCTCTAGTGGCCTAGCCTGCTCCCGCCAAGCAACCTGCTCTCGCGGCCCAGCCTGCTCCTACCAAGCAGCCTTCTTTCGTGACCCAGCCTGCTCCCGACGAGCAGCCCACTACCGTGGTCCAGCCTGCTTCCGTCGAGCAGCCCACTCCCGTGGCCCAGCCTGCTCTCGTTAAGCAGCCTGCTCTCGTGACCCAGCCTGCTCTCGACGAGCAGCCCACTCCCGTGGTCCAGCCTGCTTTCGTCGAGCAGCCCATTCCCGTGGCCCAGCCTGCTCCTGTCAAGCAGCCCACTCTCACGGCCCAACCTGCTCTTACCGAGCAGCCTGCTCTCGTGACCCAGCCTGCTCCTGATGAGCAGCCCACTCCCGTGGCCCAGCCAGCTTCAGTCGAGCAGCCCACTCTCACGGCCCAACCTGCTCTCGTGGCTTTCCAAGCAGCCCAAGTCGGCCCAAGACTATCTCAACCATTCAGACCTACCATCGAGCCGAGGGTATTCTCACCACATTTTTTTATGGATTTGACATTTCCCAACTCAAATCTCGCGCCCGGAGTCTACCACTCTTCCACTGCCCAATGAGGCGCATTCCTTCCAAGGTCTTCCAATCCAAATGGCGAACAACACTTGTCTCGACAAGTCATAGAGTTGACGAGCGCCATTGCACAACAGACAACCTTGGTGAATCAACTTTTGCAACGCATTGGGATCCAACGTGCCCCGGACGAGGTATCCCGAAGTAGGACAAGGGCATACAGACCTTTCCAGCAGCGTCCCGGTAAGCAGCCACTCGACCAGCCACGAGCCGAACGTTTGGGCAGTGTACATTCCCGTCTTAGTGCGCGAAGGAGCATGCACTCTCGATTAGGCCCACAGATGATCATACATTCACGGTTGGGGTCATACTCAGATAGTCAACATGAGCAACCTTCTGGACAAAGTGTCCATTCGCGGCTAAGCCCACAAGGAGCATCCTCCATCTCACATCAGAGTAGGCAACACGACGGACGGAGAGAAGCAGTCACTCAATCCCGCTTAAGTTCAACCAGCAGCCTGCGAAGAACTCGCTCGCCAGCTAAGAATGCACCATATGCATTGCATCCGCGACATAGACGAGCTAAACACATGGAAGAGCAGCCTAGACCAGCAAGTCATGGCTGGGGGCAGCCGATAGCTCAGCTACCCCAACAAAGGCAAATTCAGGAAGAAGTAGAGAGACTCTTGACCAAGCGAGTGCATGATTTCCAACACAACGAGGTCACCGACGAGGCACTTCGACGGAACATGACCAACATAAGCAGGTTACCCTTCACGGACGAGATCGAGCAGGCAGAGCCTCCACGCGAGTTCAGCATGCCACATTTCACATCTTTCAAAGGGGATGAAGACCCGGAGAGACACATAAAGCGCTACCGAAGTGCAATGATCCTTTATCGAAACAAAGATGATCTCATGTGCAAGATATTCGCCACTACTCTACAAGGCGAGGCGCAAGATTGGTTTTACACCCTGCCGCCACAATCCATCCGGAATTTCTACGAACTTTCTTTGGTTTTCACCAAAGAATATTCATCATATCGCTCGATCAAAAAGAATTCTGACCATTTGTTCTACGTCAAGAAGAACCTAAAAGAGTCGTTTCGCGACTATGTGAGGAGATTCAAAGTAGAGAAGGCAAAAATAGTCGGATGCAACGACTCGATAGCTAGAGCAGCCTTCCGAAAAGGACTTTCAGCAGACCATCCGCTATTCAGAAAATTGATCATGAAAGAAGATTTAACTCTGGCAGACTCTTTTGCTTTGGCAGAGAAGCATGCACTTTGGGATGAGGCTCGCCAATGCACATTAAAGGATTTGAAGAAGTACCCGACATCACCTCCCTAGAAGCAGCGGAGGACTTATTCGCATGTTTGACGGTATCTAAAGTAGCAATAAGCTCTACCATCATACGAGAAGAGCTGGGGGCCCGACTACCTATATTCCACAGTTTAAAAACTTTCCTCGATGCTATCAGTTGTATTCCACAGTTTAAAAGCTATCATTGATGTTATAAAAAATTCAACAGCTAATCTTGGCGATAGTTGTTGTAACCTAAAAGCTCAAGTTTTACGTTCAAACGCACGCAGTCATCATCATGATGCACCATTCTGCCGAATCCAAACGTACGACGATAAAGGAGTAGACTTTAGCGGATGCAAAGTTTTCTAACGAACATAACAACTCAGCCTAAAAGACATACCAATGGCAGAAGAACATTGGAAGGAACACTCAGAAGCAAATTTTGTCCTCGTTGTCCCAGAAGATTCTACATAAGAGCAACATGTACCGGCAGTTGAGCACTACCTCCTACCGCGCCTTCACGTCTAGCCTTGACAATGCAACAAAGTAGCCCAACGATGCCCCGAAAGCAGTCGAGCACACTTTAGCCGCACCTATTCCCTCAATGGAGATTTCTGGCATTTGCATGTCAACGGCGCATCCAACTACATAGGCTCGCGAGCAGCCGTGGTTGGTGGCAACCGACTACTTCACCAAATAGGTGGAAGCAGAGCCCATGACGACCATGATTCAGACGGACATAGAGCGCTTCATATAGAGGAACATCATTTACCGATTTGGCATCCCTTAATCCATCATCACCAACAACGGCCTGTAATTCATGGGCAAAGATTTGGCGAAGTTCTTCAAAAAATATGGCATCAAGCAGCATATGTCCATGCCGAGATATCCTCAAGGCAATAAGCAGGCCGAAACATCAAAAAAGATGGATATCATCTGGGAAGGTTCGTACAAGCTTAGCAGAATAGGCGGCAAGAGTAATTATACCCTCGCTACCATGAAACAATAAAAAGATCAAAAAGTAGTGGAGCGCCTACAATCTGAAGAAGTACCATGTGTGACCTCCCACTACATCAAAGCCCGAAAACTCAAGAAGCTCGACGGGCACCACCTCACAAGTCGAGGACTATCCAGTTGTTATGCAGTTCCTACCTTACAGCTAAGTTCTCGTTCGTTTCACTCATTTTTCAATGAGGAATTCACAAGTAATCACAACTTGGCTCGGCTGCATGCTTACAACAACTGATCACTCCGCATTTCAAAAGAAGACTACGCCCTTCTTAGGGACCAATCGCAGGAATTACGCCCCCCGAGGGACCAACCATGCTCTCTAGTGCGAGAGGGTAAACTAATTGCTCTCCAGTGAAATAGGGTAAACCAATTCCCCGACACCCATATGGGTCAGCTCTCCAAGACGGAAGGATAAACTTTACACTCCGAATATCCAGACGTGGATGAGCTTGGCTGCCCTAGTATAACTAGATGCACGATGGCTTGCGCTGGGATTCCTAAAAGTAGCCGCAATGGTCTTTTTCAATGCTTAGCTAACTGAAGGATTTTGGGTCTCTTGGCCTAATCCGTGGAGAACCGGGCCCTAGAGACGGAGAGGGCACATTACGCAGTACATCCGATGGACGGCTACCCTGGAATCCTAAAGCTGCTACCGAGTGCACTAAGGTAGCCTACGGATTCTGGAAGACTACCTACGGCTTGCCCTTCGAGCAGTAAAGCCATGCTAGACTTATACAACCGCACATTCTTGTGAAAGGTTAAACAAGTTAGCGCGCATATACGAAGTTTTATCCACTGCCGACATGCTACGTAGTCGATAAGCTTCAGCTCTGCCAAGAGCGGAACAACCTACACCAAGTCCTAAAGTGTTGTGATACTTGCTACGCAACCTACGGAATTGAAGAAAGTTAAGGTTAACAGCCTAGTGGTTACGCGGACTTGTCTGCTTCTGTAAGTAAGGCATCCGGCTGCCAACCCTATGGCTAACAACTTTGCAAAGTTCTAGACCAACACATACGGCTGCATAGGCTACGCGAGCTTGTCTGCTTATAAAAAAATAGCATGCCTGCCACTGGTCTATCAAGTCTAAAGGTTAGGGCATGAACAAAAGAAGTGAAGATGAAGAAAAACGAAGGAAAACATGTTTATAAACAACTAGCAAAGGCTGAAGGAGTTCAAGCAAAATAAGAGCTACAAGGAAAAATAAAGAAAATCCTAAAGGTTACCTAAAATACTACACTACAGCAGCTTGGACATCCCACGACTACTCGGTCGCCACACCTTCAATAGCCATAACGCTCTTAGCAGTGGCATCATCCAGCGCTTCACCCCGGCTGCCCTAGCCTGGGCACTAACTTCTCCAACTACTTCACCAATGGAAGCCTTAAAAGTAAAAGCAAGCAAGTCTTCCGGAGAAATAAAGAAGGTCTTAAAACCTCAAGCCCATCCTTCTCACCCTTCAGCTGCTCATTCTTCTTAAGCAGACTAACACGGACGCGCTGCAGCTCATCCACTCCCTTCTTAGCATAAGCAACGAAACGAAACTCAGAAACTGCAAACTCAAGATCTTGAATATGAGGTATGTAACATCCAATCTCCTTCTCTGCACTTTCATGGTTAACTTGGATCGCGTCAAGCCTAGTCCTCAAGTCAACAATCTTTTGGCGAACGATCTCAAGCTGCAAATGAGTGGGGGTAGACATATGAGACCCCTTCAAAGCAACAAGCTCAGAATCTGCCATAATATTTGCTGTCTCCTTAGCAGCCTTGCTATATCTGCATCATAGCAAGCAGAGCAGTCCTTCTATTATTGGGTCGTATGCTTCGCAAACGAGCTTGGGCAAACATTTTCTGACGCCATCAACAAACTTGGCACAAACGTCCATGTTTTCAAGAGATTTGGTTTCAAAAGCACATATATCTCAGCAGCCTCCCCAGAAGTAGGCTTAGTGGATTTCTCACAGCTGCCTACGCGAGCAGTCTCCTCATTCCCAGCAAGCGAATCAGTCTTAGCAGCATAAGGAATGGGCCTTGGCGCCACTTTAGCAGCAGAGTCCACCTTATCGCTCTTCATAATAGCAAGCATCTCCAAAGGTAAACCGGACTTTGCTCCCAACAAACGTCTTGGTACAACATTCAGCACTAGGGGCATGACATGACCTTTATGCCGAACAATCCTATCAGCAATCGTACTAGCCATTCTTGACATGGCAGTCGCAACATGCTCAGACCTAGCAGCCTCATTTTTCGTCCCCTTGGAAAAAGTCAAGTCAATCACAAGCCTGGAGGCAGTCGGCGAACCCACGCGAGCGAAAGAAATCTTTGGTTTTTTTCTCAACCGGCATCTCTTGAGCAGGCAGGGAATATCCCTTTTTCCACCTACACTTGTAGCAAGATCCACAACCGTGATTGGACGAGCCAATGCATCCGCCTTGATCCTATTCACCTCATATTTCAGGAGCAGCCTACTTTTCTCTCAGCGAAGAGGACTAAACAGCCAACGACATTCATGGTACTCAACAGGGGAGCTCAACCCAACATTCCAGCAGCCCATGAGACCCACAATCTCCTCATTTCTCAATCGCCAGCCTGGCCCGAGTCAGGTCCAAGAGCCCAAAGGACATGAGCCATGCGGCTCGCCTAGCACTGCGCCCCAGTGCCACAATCCGCGACCCCAACCGCACAAGCTGCCCTTAGCTCAAGCCAAGCCAAGCTGCCCAAGTAATGGTCTCTGCCATGATATCTCCTTGGCCCATGCCGAGCCAACTCCTGGTCCCTGCCAGCCGACGTGCTGCACCACCCCGACGGCTGCCCCGCAATAGCACTATCCAAGAAGAAGGCAAGAAAAATTAAATTTTTCTTACATCGGTGCGGCACGGAGAAAACGAAGAAATCAACGAAAGACGGTCCTTTGCACGGGCAAGATGTAGAAGATTGCTAGAGGAGGGGGAACAAATATCCTCTAACTTTCTCTCTCTTATGAGGTATAATAAATGGCTCTCCATAGTTGATTTAATAACCCACTTAAGGTGGACTTAAATAGGCTTTAAGAGAAGTTTATTTCCCTTTCCTAGAAGGACCTAATTTCCAATTAAAGAGAGAATCAACATCAAAATAGGAAGCAATCCTACGTTTCCTGAAGCAAGAAGATCTCTACACCTGCTGCCCTTTCTTACGAGCAGCCCAACAGGTGTGGGGGCATTTGTGGAGCCAAAAATATTCACTAGGCGACACGTGGACTTTTGAACAAAAGAGGACAAAAATACCCTTGAGGCATACCGGGATTCCTACGCGCAAGCAGCGGGAAATTATCTTTCAATCAAGTCAAAAGTGTCCAAAAAAGGTAACAATTAAAAACCTCTTTCATCAAATCCTTTCTATAAGGTATTTCCCAAAACCTAGTATTTTCTATTTCATTATTTAGCTAATCAATTAGCTAAATAATATATACCTACCATATCTCCTAAAATCATCCTTAATAGTCAATAAAATCACCCAAATTGATAGTCAAAACCGGCCACCACCATTCCCATCCTCACCTTTCCCATTTTCCTTATTAAAATAGTCATTCATTTTTATAACCACCCATTTATTCTTTTCATATTTAATTAGCCAATAAATTGGCTAATTAAACATGAAATTGAACCCCACAAAAAACCTTTAGTGGCTGGTTACTTTTATTCAAAATTGGGCAAGGCCTAACTCTATAAATAGGCACCTATTCTCACCAAAAAAATCAATTCCAACACTTTGGCAAAAATCCCAAAATTCTCTAAACACTCTTTCTCTCTAAATTCTAACTTTGGCATCGGAGGTTCTTCGGCCAAAGCCCCCCCCATTCATCGTGGGCGCGTGTGGCTCTTGGCCTTAACCTAAGGTGTTAATTGTTTTGTAGGTGCAAAATTGTCCAAGATCAAGGAGGAAGAAATTTGCATCCACAAAAACTATTGGAGAAAATCATTTATCTAATTTCTTTTTTGAAGATGATTTGAATTGATTTGAGGCTCATAAAAATGGATGAGGATCCGGATCTTTTTTGTGAGAATTCAGTGAATTTATTAATTGTATCCGTTCATTACAAATCATGTGATTCGTTTTTTTAGTTACTATTTATGTTTAATTTAAAATAATTTTTTATCGTATGATGTAGAATGAATAAACACAATTAAAGGATTTGCGGGATCCATGTGAGGATCCGAAGAGGATTCTTATTCATTAAAATGGATCTTTTTCCCATATAAGAGGATTCTCATTCATTAAAATGGATCTTTTTCCCATATAATGACGTTTCTTTCTCGTACTACATAAACCCTCCCACTCCTACCTCAGTACATGTACACCCACGCATGCATGCAGTCATGAAGAAGACTGAACGCATCACGACCCAGTTTCTCCTCTCTCTTGTCTTCCTCTTTTCATTCCTCTCACACCCAATCGCAACATTCGGATCCTCATCCAATGAAACGGATCAGCTGCTTGCCAAGGAACTCTTGACGTCGGCCTAACCAGTGCCCAGAGTATCGTCAACTACTTATCCAGCATTCCCCGAGAAGCCGACCCGCGTGCCGTGGTCGCCCTTAACGACTGTGTCGAGGCCTTTGGCACCGCCGCTGGCCGCATTCGCAGCTCTCTTAAGCAGATGCTCCTGCTCAGCTCCCCCAGCTCCCCGTCCTTCAGGCTCGAGATAAATAACGTGCTGACGTGGATAACCGGTGCGATTGACGACGGGGATACCTGCACGGAGGGATTTAAGGAGGTGGTGGAGGGTCCGTTGAAGACCGACATATCCAATAGGGCGGAGGATTATAAAAAGGTTACTGAAAATGCGCTTGCACTGGTTCGTACAGTTGCCGAGAAGCAGGCGCCGTGATCAACCCTCATCTAGTTCTAGTAGTTTTTTTTGTCTCTGTTGGAACTGTCAATTAGTGACTTGATTACTGAAGATAAGTAAAGGTTTAAATCTCATTTGAAAATCTGTTATGGATTACAATTTACAGTTCAATTAGTTTCTAGGGCTTATTCACCCAAAAGTTTACAACTAGATTTTGGGTACCCTTATGGGGACAGGGTTACTACATGTACAAGACCGGCTATAGTAGTTAAAGTGAAAAAACGAACTATACAATAGCAGGTTTTGTCCGACAGTAGCCGAAACCTTATGCTAAAAAAAAATCCCTCCTCCTGGGAAACTCCTGCAGCTCTGATATCGCTTATTAGTTTTCAAGAAAATCCTTCCTCTTTGAGCAATGAAAGAGTGCCAATCTATATGTTTGGGAGAGATAATCGGTGAACATTAAAATTAAATGATAAAATTAGTAATCCTAAACCCCTCATCTGAATTTCTGTCCATATTATTGACTGGCTAATATACTGCACTATGGGGTGGAGGATATGTTAGAGTATGAGTGTGATTCATACAGTTTGGTAATAATCCTTGTTATCTCAGATTGCTATAGAGAAGTCTTAATATGTTTATGAGAGTTAATTCGACTTTGGTTTGGATTGAAACTCTGTGTTGATAAGCTTAAGAATATAACTTGTACAATGATTTGGTCTTGTATTCCTTGTAGGATTATTATAGGGTAATCCATATTTTGTAGTATAAAAACCACAAGCCCCTGCTCTCACAAAAATACGCTCTTATTGTTCCAATTACCTATAACTTGGAGAGCATTGAGTTTTGCAGAGAGGAGAAGGTTGTGTGTAGAGGGTGTCTTGGTATGTGTCCATGTGACAGTTAAAGAAGATGGAGAAGTCGGATTGTACACGCAGTGCCATGGCTTGATGCTTTACGTGTCCTGCTGTATTCTTGAACCCAGTTCCTTTTGGCAACAAAATAGTTTTCAACTGCAGCAAAGGTTGCGGTGTTCATGGTTATGACACCATCCGCGTGGCTCTTGCTTCCACTGATATTGGTCATGGTTGGACCGTCACCAATCATCACAACATTGGTCATTTGCTTTTGAACGATGACAGTCGCCTCGGAATCCACTCGTCTTTTGGCTTAATGGACTAGCACCATCTGATGTCTTTTAACAGCACACATGGGAAAGACTGGGAAAGACTTCGTGAAGTAGTCTAGAGGTATGTGTTGCACATATCACTTCAATATTTGCATATGTAGAACATATTTGATGTGTTGGTTGTGATTTAGTTGGTATATTCTTGCGTTCTTGGCTAAGTATATTAACATAAAGCCTATGGTTAATCTTACAGGATATGCATAAGGTTACCAGCACTGCTTGAGCTCCTTGATAAAGTTATGAGTTGAGATTTTCTGCACCCATTTTTGCATGTGGCCCCTCTGTGCCTTTGTTAATTGGCTGAGGATTTGGTTTATTTTTTATAGATGGGGAGGCGTTCGGATCACAATGAGGTTGCCCTCGCTGCGATTTTTTTATTCTTTTATTTTTATTTTTTTGAACTAACAAATTATATACATTAAGAGAGGTGTGGTCTAATTAATGAAAGGGTAAATTTTGTGAAAAATCAATAAAAAGTTACAATATTAACAATAGATCAATAATATTTATGTTAATTATAAATAGGTCAATCATGTATTGTGATCCTTAAACACATTTAAAATAAACAAAAATTACAAAATCTGCCACTACAGTTGGCACCCACTTCAAGTAACACTCCCTTTCTCATAGTTTTATATTTGAAATAAGTCAATACATAGTATGTTTCCTGATTTTATTTTTTACATTTGGATTAGTGTTCATTGACTGGTTTCGTTTTTTACATCTGTCTCATGCCTCTTACATGCTCCTTTGTACAGTGTCCGTTTCTTGGTTTTGTTTTTTTACATTTGGATTCAGACACTGCAATGGAGTGTTTGTTTTCTGGTTCTGCTTTTTAAATTTAGATTCGAACACTGCAATATAGTGTCCATTTCCTGGTTACCTTTTTTATTAGTTGAGTAGACTCTTCCATCTAAACGAAGGGGGAGAGAGAGTGATAGAATATACATGTTCTAACTATTTATAGGATTTAGATCCTCTCAAGATCAGTTCCATAGGAATATAATCCAACGGCCAAAGTCTTTTCCTCCGCCTCTCTTCCCTTTCAACTCCTCTTTCTCCCTCACCCCTACATCTTACCGTTGTTAACAAACCTTTGGAGGTCATCTGTGCTCTAAGTCTGATTTATTTTTTTGCTACCCCTTACTATTTTAGCTTTTTATTTGTCATCTCTTTCTTCTTCATCTTCATCTTTGAGATTTTTCTCTCTATAATTTTTCCATAGTTATGAAAAAGATATTTGCAACCCAAAGACATTGGTTTGCACGACCGTCTCTTTGTTGTTTCATTAACATCGGCTGAGATTTTAAGGTCGAGGGACTTGCAATTGAGGGATGTGGCGGTGATGGGGCTGATTTAAAGAGGGCTGTGAAGGACCTGTAATTGGTGGTTGTGGGTTGGGTGGGTTGTGGCGGTGTTGGGGCTAATTTTGAGGTGGGGTTGAATTTAATTTGGAATTTGGGGAGTTAGTGGTTCAAGGTTGAGAGCTTCGACGTGAGGGAGAAAGAGAAAAGTCGAGGGGAAAAGAGGAAGGATAAGAGATTTTTGGCTAGAGCATGATACTAAAAAAAATTTACATCAAAAAAATCAACTAGAGCATGACAAGCGGATAAATGAGAAGTACTCTCCAAGTGAGCTTTTGATGTATTGTTATATAAAACGTAATGATGTCGCAGTGTTTCTTTTAATTAATTAATTTTTTCTTTTTGCGTGTGACCATTTTTATTAAAAAAGTAGACACATAAAAGGTTCACTCTTAAAAACACTTACACACATAATTTATATGTACACAATGGTGGAACTAAGATTTTAACTAAATCTGCATGCGCATGATAAGAAAGTTGTCATATTACACATTCATTTTCATATACTTGACCAAAACTCATGTACATGACCTTGACCCACACTTTGTATTGTCTTGATTAATCAAATTATCTATTTGGTCCTAGTACACATATATTCGGGAAACCTTATTAATTACTTGCAAGCAACATCAACCAAAATTTTCTATTTTTCGTGAATATCATTTTAGAGTCATCAGCCAAATTTTTTTTATTTTTTTATTTTTTTGTATCATTGATAGTCATCAGTTATAATTAGTAGGGTAAATTGACATTGTTGGGGTCACATCCACCTATTTTCCCCGCATTGGCATCACTAGTGTACCTGCACCAGCAAATTCAATTTGGAGATAAAGTTCAGAAACCCGCACCAACAAATTATCAATTTGGAGATTAAGTTCAAAAATTCGATGGACCACTATGGTCTTTATGGAATCAATAGTTCAGAAATTTGATGGATAACTATGTCATGTTCCTTATATTATTTGAAGAGTTATGTGACCCATTTGCACGCTCATAATTTGATAGCCATGCATGCATGCTGGCTTCTATTTACTAGGTAGTACCAAAAGTGATTGCGCTCTACATCAGTCTACAACGTGCATTGCATTCACATTCAAATATAGTATGGCATAAATAATAAACCTAATCAATTACCAAATGAGAACCCTATCGATATTAGAGGTAAAGATTGAAAAGATTGGGTTCTTGCTTATTTGTTAATAGTTTGGGGTTTGTCCATTTTTGTTATGAACACGTATGAATCCCTTTTTTTTTTCTCTCTCTATAGAGTTTCCAGCCTTTTCTTCCTACTGTAGCTCATATGTGAGAAAGGAATATAACTAACGGAAAATTTTATATTAATCCTTGTCTAAGATTACTTTTTGAATAAAACCTTGTCTAAGATTAAAAATTAATTCTAATCATTGGCATTTAATTGTAATTTTTGAATATTAAATAGGTTGTAATAATTATTGAGTTTTTTGTTTGTAGGTTATACATTGATTTCCCATAAATAATAAAAATGTTATTTATCATATATTATCATTTTTTTATTGTGTAAATTTCTCCATACTTATGTATATGCATATTACATACATATGTATGTTTAGATACTATAATTGCTTATCGATACATTTGTACCAACACATTTGTATCGATACATTCGTACCTAAAATTATGTACTAATACATTTGTACCGAAACTTACGTACTGATACTTCTATACCTATGAGTAAATTAAGATACCTAAAGTTATGTACTGATATATTTGTACCGAGACTTATATATATAAATGTACCGATACTTCTGTACCTATGAATAAAATAAGGTACCGAAAGTTATGTATAAATTATTTTTAATAATAAGAATTTGTTTTTTATTAAATTTTTATCTATTAATATGATTGGAGCACAAAAAAATACATTTATTATGGATGGGTAAAGAATTTCAAATGGTAACAGAAATAACAAATGTGTTATAATTACTTATAGGTAAGTTTTAAAAATAAGGACTTATATTAGATTTTGAAAACCATTCAGGTTAAAATCTAAAAACAATCTTATTGAAGCTCTAACATCTATAATCCCCTAATAAAAATGTTATTTATCATATATTATAAATATATTTTTATTGTACCAACACATTTGTATGTTTAGATACATATGTATGTTTAGATACTATAATTACTTATGAATACATTTGTACCAACACATTTGTATCGATACATTCGTACCGAAAGTTATGTACTTATACATTTGTACCGAAACTTACGTACTAATACTTCTATACCTATGAGTAAAATAAGGTATCTAAAGTTATGTACTGATACATTCGTACCAAAACTTATGTACCGATACTTTCGTACCTATGAATAAAATAAGGTACCAAAAGTTACGTACAAATTTTTTTTGTTTTGTTGTTGAATTTTTTTAATAATAAGATTTTTTATATAAATTTTTTATCTATTAATATGATTGGAGCACAAAAAAATACATTTATTAATGT